ATAGCATTCAACAGATCCATGCCGACAATAGTACACTAGATCTTACAAATAAAAAAACCAATGCAGCCATCAGGTCCAGGAGCTTTCTCAGTGGGCAAAGCAAAAATGGTAACTTAAGTTCATCCATGGAGAACTCATTAGGTGCAACAGATTAGCAGTGAGAGGTTGTAGAGAGTCCAGATTGAGGCCCAACACACTTGGAGTAGGTTCACCCAGGAGAGAGTTAAAATGGATCAGAAGAATTTGAGCTTTCTCAGGGTGGTCATTGATCTGAATTCTATGGTCATTGGAGAGCACTGGCATGTGATTTTTTTCTCCTTCACCCATTTGCCCTTAAGTGGAATAACCTGGTATTAGCATCACCAGATTTGATCCAGGTAACCCTTGATCTTTGTCTCCAACGAGCTCTGTTAATTGCTGCAAACCCAAGCAATCTGTTTTTTAGGGTGGTGTGAAATCTCTTTCAACATGAGTCAACTCCCTGTCCTCCTGAGCAAGATGCAATTGGAAAATCACCTCTGTTGCAAGCTTCTCCTTAAATCTCTGCTCTCGTCCATGACTGTTACTCCATTGCTTCAGTACTCTTGCGGTCCTAGATAGCTTGATATGCAGATTCTTGACAGCGCCAGTTGAAAAAACAGGCTTGCACCAAGCCTTTTGGACCACATCTTTGAAACCATTAAGACTTGCCCAGTAGGCCTCAAATCTGAATCCCCTGTAATGCCCAATGTGCATCTTCTTGAGAATAATGGGTCGATGGCCAGAGATTGTTGTGGAAGCAGGAATCAGGTGATACTGCAGATGAACAATAGCAAAATCATCAGGGCAAGCCACCAAGATGCCCCCTCGGGTGCCAATAGCCGGTTTGAAAATGACATTGGCAGAGAACTTGCTGGCAGGGATCTCAGTGACCGGAGCAGGGGAGAGGTCAGCCAACTTAGTCTCCTGGAGGCAGACCAAGTTGCAGTTGTGGTCAGCAATAAAATTTTGAATCGCTCTCCTTCTAGCCAGGTTGTTTAACCCTCTGACGTTCCAATTAATAAGTTGTATATACATTGCAGGGATCATCGCGGTGGGGGCGTTGCAAAGCGGTTGGACAACAGTCTTCGCGAATGGCAAACAAACAGCCCAAGGGATAGCCGGCATTGCAAACAGTAGTGAACAGACACCAGAATCTGAATTCTGAAGACACAAACACAGCATACAGAGATGCAGCAGCACTAAGCAAGGAACAGGGGTGACGCAGAACAGAGACAGGAACCAACAGAGGGCAGCTGATAACGAAGTGGAAGATCTAACATTGGTAACAGTGGGGGCGCTGGAGACTAGCAGAGGCAGCCGATCAAGCCACTGCCAGAGCCTCCCCAAGCAGAGCTTCTTCCAATCCTCCTAGGAGGCAGTTACAATGTTCGTGAGCAAATCAGTGGACATCCCACGTTTGGGGGGTGATGGCTCTAAGTCCTAACGCACCGGCACCAGCCCAAAGGGCAGCCTCATCCTTGATCTTCATGGGTAGGTCGTTCACCGATGGGGACCCTTGGTTCAAGACGCAGTCACATCAGCTTTCTTCCCCATCTTGCGAGCAGGGTTGGCGGCGTCCATCAAGGCCGTGACCGGCTGCTGGTACAAATCTCCATACTTCTTCAGGGCAGCAGAGGTGGCGGTCGATTCATCGATGGGTTCACAAGATTTCTTCAGCAAGACAAGCTTGACCATGTCCATCGTCAGTAGACCTGCAGTGGGCTTGGCAGCGACCACTGCATCTTGCCAGCTTCTCCGTGGCAGATGGCTTCGAGGCCGCCGGTGATAGCGGTGGTGGCGGCGAGAAAAGGATGCCAGGGGAGTCGGGCGAGGCAAGGCTAGCAATGAAGCCAGTCAGGGCAATGGGGCCTCGAATACTGCAACACTGAGTCTTTGGAAGCTCCACACAGATAACTACCAGCAAGTTGCGGTCACTTTTATCCAGATATTGTGCACATTTGATGTCCTTCCTCCCATATTTGCTTCCTGGGAACTCTACGGACACACTGTTTCACTTCAGTTGCCTGTAACTGGAACTAAGACAGATGCTTTGTAGGCGGAAGCCGAGTAGGGATAGATTGCTCTAGGTCGTCAATGTTTCCAAAAGCAGCAACAATGAAGATACTGTCCTCCATGGTTCCAGAAGCAACAACGATGACGATACCACAATTCGCATATTAAGCAGCAACAGCCCCGGGGATACAAATCCTCAGTTCCACTTCCACCAATAATAGCATTTTAGATACCATCTTCGTTAAAGGCTTGAAGCTGGGGAAAGAGCTGGAGAAGATAGAAGATGATGTTTCTCCGCTGGAAGGTGATGGCCGAATTCTGGGCCGAGACCATCATCCATATCGTGACATCAGACAGTGTCAAGGTGCACATCGAATGGCTTGCGCAAGGAGGAGAATTCCTTGCTCATGTTTGGGCTCTCCTCAATCACGCAGGCATCCTGAAACATGAACAGAAGCAAATCCATGAAGAAACCGTGTAATGATATTGTGCTTTTTGTACTCCCATCCTATTGTAAGTTACCAAGTATTTTTATGCTTGATCCCTAATGTGTTCCAATTTGTTACCAATCAATCAAAAGTACTTCATTGATGCGACATGTACCTAATCTGGACCAGAGAAACAACCTAAGCTTTCTATTTGTTCACTGTTGCCAGGCCAGTTTACTGAGCCAAGATCTATGACTGCAATCCATGACGCAGAAAAATCCGCAGTCAGCATGGCTAACAACATCTATCTTATTTAGTGAGAACAGTACCAACCTTTTCTTAGCTGGCAGGGTGAGAGGCGACGGCACTTCTTTTGTTTAAATAGATACTTTGTCAGCCGGCAGGGTGGCAAACCGTGGAACTTCTTTGGTACAGTGTTATTTGTTGATGAACATCACAAAGAGAAAAATTCTGTGGGCGGCTGGTTACTTGAACAGGTCCACTGTGATCTCCAACCAACTGGAACAATGATCTACGCATGCCTGTTGTCGAGGGCATCTTGGAAAAGAGTGTAAATATACCATTCAAGACGAGCATATGAATAGCAGCGTTGATCTGAACATAACCACCCAGGATCTAGATGGAAGAAGCATGTTTTCCTTTGGTGCAGTGCCAAAGTATCTGTCATGGTGCAGACTTGAATCAGCTACATTAATGACGAAATAGTCTAGATATAGAACAGAAGTCGTGTAACTGAGAGTGAAGCACATATCACAGAATATTTTTCATAGGAGCTGCCATAGTGACATTACCTTGTGGAGAGCTGGAAATGTTTCCACAGCACCAACCTTTTGTTAGCTGGCAGGGTGAGAGACAACAGCACATCGTTGGTTTCCATAGATATTGGTTTCCATAGATACTTTGTCACCTGGCAGGGTGAAAAAACCGGTGCACTTCGTCTGCAGATACAAACGCAAGGTCCTGCAACAGGAGGTTAAGAGGGTTAGAGAAGTACAACGTTATCTAGCTGATGCACATCACAAAGAGAAAGATCCTGTGGACCTTTAGCTGAGCAGGTATACTGTGATCTCCAGCCTACTGGGACAATGATATGCGCATACCTGTTGTCAGGGGCATCTTTGGGGAGGAGTGTAAGTACACCATTCAACACAGGCATATGAATAGCAGCGATGATCTGAATATAACCACACATGTTCCGGATGGAAGAAGCATGTTTTTCATACGGCACAATGCCAAAGTATCTGTCATGGTGCAGACTTACATCATCTGCATTGACCAAAAGAGTCCAGATATACAACAGAAGTAGTGTAATTGAGATTGACGTATTGATGTATTGATCGACCTTATTTTCATAGGAGCTGGCATCGTGACATTACCTTGTGAAAAAATGGAAATGTTTCCACTTTAGTTAAATAGCTCATTGTCAACCAATGATCATATTGAAAAGCTCACTGGTCGCTCTCGATTCTAGAATGATATGCATTCATCTGGTTTGCCGTCTTCCGCCAAGACAGTGATATGCTTGATAGGAGTGAAGTGGGAAAAAAAACAGCGTCTGGCAAAAAGTTAGCTATAAGATGAGTACATATTGCAAGGAAGGCATTAGCGTCTGGCTAGGCAAGAAGGGAAAATTGTAGCAAAATATCACTCTGTGCTTACTGCAATAGAAAAGGGGGAAATAATCTACAACAGAGCATCAATATTGCTATGTTTATCTACAATCAATTACTGTACCTAATAAATTAAGCATTTGACTAAAAGAACCAAGTTTTTGATTAAAGCCAAACCTCAAATATCTAGCATCGCAGGACACTATACGTACCCCTATTAAGGAATGCTGGATCACACCAACAAAATGCATACATCTGAACAAATAATTATACCAGTACAATGGTGAATGCACTCGATGAGAATATACGAACTGGGCAAAAGATGTTCTTCACATATGGCCCATAATATATTATCATCATTTGGAGACAATCAATCAGAATACAAACTAAATATTGCATCAACCAATAATCTGCAAAAGAAACTAAAAAAATACATCTACAGCTTCATAGTTCTCTTCATTGTTCCAATACATGGAAACATAAACCTGCATCCTGTCTTGTTCTTTATGGACACATGGCAAGATCTGAACATTGCCATATTGTAGGAAGGAAGGAATTAATTAAATTAAAAGATGTGCTAGAAACTATCCATCATTGTGTATCTAGTGACTCACGATGGTCTTATTTGCAATAAAAGCAGTTCTATGGGATTCTCTAATGGACTGTTCCATTTTTCGTGGCATGAGGCGATGGCTTGCTGCTGTAATGCTGAATTTGGTCCCAATGGTGAACAACTCATCTGTATCTCACCAAAAAGAATTAGTATTACTAGCCCCCTGATGCAAAAGTTGGTTGAGTTCACGATGTTGATAAAATACTGGCAGTCAATCTGTTCATGAACAGCAAGCAACTTCCTGATCAGCACTGAGCTGCAATGAAGCCAACACGTCTTCCGTCACTGCCATAGTCAGCCGGCACTGCAGCCAGCAACAGCGCTCGACCCGGGGATCTTTGACAACCGTGCATCCTTCATCACTTTCCTAAGTTTATCCACGTCCTGCCACCTCCCAGCATCTGCATATATGTTGGACAGCACCACATACACGCCATGGTTGTTGGGGTCCAGTTTCAGCATCTCTTGCACAGCCCGTTCCGCGATATCAATGTCGCCGTGGCTCTTGCAGGCTGTAAGCAAAGCCCCCCAGATCATAGTATCAGCCTTGCATGTCATCCCACGTATCATCTCTTCTGCCTCCAATAGAAGTCCACTCCGGCCGAGGAGGTCAACCATGCACCCATAGTGTTGGATGCTCGGAGTCACCCCAAAGTCCTCCATAGATGCGAACACTCTGCGGGCCTCGTCGAGCAGCCCTGTGTGGCAGTATGCTGACAGAACCCCGACAAGTGTGGTTGCATTCGGCGGCACACCCTCCTGGCGCATCTGCTCGAACATCGCCAGCGCATCCTTGCCATGCCCATGGTGCGCCAACGCTGAGATCAGGGCGTTCCACGTAGCTGTATGCCGCTCCGGCATCCCCTTAAACACCGCTACAGCCTCCTCGATCGCCCCATTCTTTCCATACATGTCGACTAATGCTGTGCCAAGGATCACCCCCACAGGCGCCGCCATCCCCCTCCTCTCCATGATATCATGCACACGCCGCCCCATCACGAGCCCACCAGACTCTGACCGTGCGCAGGCCGACAGCACCGATGCAAGCACCACTGCACCAGGCTCGAACCCCTCATTGAGCATCTCATCAAAGGCTCCCATGGCGTCCTGGTACCGCCCATTCTGCGCATAGCCAGAGACCATGGTGGTATACACCACCACGCTTCGCTCGGGCAATTCATCAAACACCTTCCGCGCGACACCAATGAGTCCAGCCACCGAGTACGCGCGGACAAGGCCGTTGGCAACGTAGGTGTCATGGTCGAGCCCGTGCTTGACGATGAGCGCGTGGATCTGCGTGGAGACAGGAAGAGCGAGGCGAGCGGAGGCCTTGAGGAGGAAGGGGAAGGTGTGCCTGCCGGGGGAGTAGGGGGAGCCGGCGGAGTGGCGGAGGTGGGAGAAGAAGGCGAGGGCGGAGGCGGGGTCGGGGGAGGAGGCGAGGGCGCGGAGGGAGGTGTTGAGCATGAATGAGTTGGGGGCGTAAGGGAGGGAGGAGAGGAGACAGAGCACGGCGGCCGGAGGGGAGAGCGAGGCGTAGGCGTCCAGGAGGCGGGAAGCCGCGAAGGCGTCGTTGGCGATGCGGCCGGAGACGAGCATGGCCGCGTGGACGACGGTGAGGCCGCGGAGGGTGGAGCAGCGGTCCGCCAGGAGGGACAGGCTGACGTGGCCGCGGCCACGGACTACGGCGCCGGCGCCGCCGCCGCCGCGGAGGAGAGGTGACGCGGCCATTTGCGCCTGTTTGAATGCGAAGTTGAGAGCAAGTAGCCCGCACCTCGTTTTATCCACGCATGAATTGTTTTGCAGTTTTCCTATTTCTAAATTTCAGAAGTTCCCCGCCCTGAAAAAAGAATCAGACGGCTGTTTGTATTTTCACTTTCAGGCCGTTTTTTATGGCCGTCAGATGTACACGAATCTTAGCGCTGCTCGCTCTGTTTGTCTCATGTGGCGCGTGTCGGGCTTCCGTCGGTTTTTTGGCTGATGGAGCGGGCGTAGCGGGTGTTGCTCCGTACCCGAATCCGTTTTGACCAAGGTGGTTGATCGGCGACCCGTGTGAAGAAATCATTTCTGTAATGGAGAAGGAAGGGGGGAGAGGCGGAGGCGGCGGAGGGGAGTCACCGTCGCTGGCGAATAGCGGCGAGGGGCTGGCGTGATGTTATGAAGAGCAGGAAGATGCCATCGAGCAGCCCTAGGAAGAGGAAGGCTAGTTGTCGCGGAGCAGCAAGAGGAAGGAGAGAGAGTGGTACGGAGAGGAGGTCGGCGGAGTTTTTTCGTCCCGCCACCAGGTGTTTCGCCAATGAGGTCGGAGTCAGTCGTCGGCGCCTACCAGGCGGAAGGCACAACGAGCCATTTCCCCCAACCCCACAGCTCTCATCTGAGTACTATTTTCTCGGACAGTATTTTTGGTTTCATTCCCTGCATCCATTTAGTCGCCGCTCGTTAGATCCTTTTGCTTGTGTGGGGATTGCTTCATCATGCTTGCACTAATTTCACAGTACCGTCTTGGTTCATATTCAGCATACCCGTGGAGCTCAATGTTTTCGCCCAAGTAATTTGTATGTGGGGTATTCACCATCAGTAATTTGTATGTGGGGTTTGTGCGTTTAGCTATGTTTTCCCATTCAGATTATGTGTTATGTGGGGGTACTCATTATCAGTAATTTGTATGCAGGTGAGGTTTCAATTTTGTAGAACTGAAAAAACCTCATCCTTTGGTGCACACATTGTAGAACTGAAAAAACTTTATCCTTTGGTGCACACTAACCGACGAAGGAGATCTAGTGTATTTTTGTGTTCCTCGTAGGTAGGCTAGGTAGCTACTTCATCCATGACAAACTATAAGATGTTTTTATGCCTTATGGAAAATCAAAAACATCTTATATTTTGGTGCGGAGGTAGTAGTTAATTGGCCTCATCCTCTCTTTTTTGTTGTGTATTTTTTTTCTTTTGCAAGTCGGATTTCTAGTATGTCTTTTCTGAGTTTATGCTTTTTGTTCTTCATCTTGTTTTTTGACAGAGTGATTTGTTGAAGCTACGGTTCAAAGAGATTAGGTTGTTCTTTTTTCATGGCGATGATGAACAATCAGGCTGCAGGTGGGACTGATAGCGGGAGTCCCACCACATCTCACTTAGTCCCAACAGGTTTTGGTAGGTTATAACCAACAACCCAGTAAAACTTACGTGGGTTAAGTGGGATCAAGTGGGTTCCCACTTCCAACATGTAGATATGTAACGTATGTGTGCAGATATACGAAATAGATTCTACTCACAAAGTATGTCCAAATATAAACAGAGGGTGTACCCAACATGCATATATGAACCGTGGCTGTATACAACATGCATATGTGAATTGTAGTTGCAAGTTAGAAATCACCTGAAAATAATATAGCTTCGGTTCAGGCTACATGCAACCAGACTGCAACACCATTTTTGCTTCAGAAGTGAACATCACTTCATTAATAAACACCACATGACAGAAAATTTGTGAACACATCAGAAGGCTACATGCTCTAAATATGGTGGACATGAGCCATTTTTTCTCTTCCCGTTTCGAATATCTCCAAGATGTTGAATCCTCTGGAATGCATTTTAAGAGCCCTGCAAGTATACAATCAAGTAGAGTGCTATTTTCTTATCAAGAAAAGCTAACATTATATTATATTAAGAATAGGAAGATGGACAAGAAAAGGCAGCAGAAAAACAAGAAAGTATTCACTCTCTTGCTAAGCTCACTCCTGCAATAAAATCACATCAACCAAGATGGACAACAGCTATTTATTCAATGGATGAACAAGCTAGTTGTAAGCTGCTACCTAGGAAAATAAACACTTTTCTGCTCCCAAACTATGGTCTTCTTTGTAAGAACAGTCCGGTACTTGTAAGTAAAAATAATTAAGGAGAATTGGAACATCGTGTACGATAAAATTTAATAATACATTGTGAGTAAGACAAGCACATATATCAGTATATATCTATGAGCCCCTGAAAAGCATGCTGAGGTACTTGTAAATTATCTTATCAACGACTGCAGTAAGAAAGAGAACAAAAAAAGGCCTAGCAAAACAGCGGATGAGAGCACATTTCAGTATCCACCTGAAAGCATGTGAAATAGTAGTACTTCGTTGGCTGTTTCAAACACTCAAGTACTAACATGTAGTGAAATCTGTCCTTGTCTAATACTAGTATTATTCAGAGGAACACAAACAAGTAACATGCTGCAGGCTGCCCTGTTTCCTTGTACCACCTAACTATCATTTTAACTACAAAGCTTTGGATCTTCAGTTAGATAAATCACAAAGCTTTGGCTTCAGTTAGATTCAAAAACTTTGGACCTTCAGACAACAAATGTACCAGCGATCGGATGTACCTGTTGCCCAGGGCAGGGGCGTCAAGGTTGGGGGTGGCGGCGACCTGCGCGTCCGGATCGATGCTGCCTGTGACCTTGGGGTCAGGATAGGGGCTGGCGACGATCTGACCATCGCGTCCTAGTACAGTAAAGAGTAACGGGTTTTCAAAATTGTAACAAGCATCTGCAAAAGAAGTACAACTAATATGTAGAACAAGCATCTGTATAACTAGTGCAACAAGCATCAGGTCGGCAGGGCAGAGGACGTTCCTACAAAAAAAATATTTACAAAAAATGTCTTTAATTTGATCAAGCCAACTGCATCGACTCGACCATGCTGAAGAGCCTGTGTTTTGTGGTTACAGCATGCCCAAGAAGCAAAAGTGAAGTTAAGAAGAAAAGAGGTGGATGTGTTATTTCTGCAATCTGTTTTGCTCCGATGTAGTAGCAGTAGCATTAGTGTTACCGGACTTTCTATGAGACGATTCCAGCTGTGTTTTACTTCAATTTGGATTATGTCAAACTTGATTTGAGCAGAAAATGGTAATCTGTGACACAAAAGACTGTTGTCAAGCTTCTAGATTGTTTTGTTAACCTACTTATTACACGGCCAAATTAAGCCAAAGTATATCTTCTCATGAGCATTCTAAAACAATTTTCTGAAACTAAAGAAAAACTAAAGTGAGGTGGTATTATTTTCTGAAACAAAGTTCTGTAAATTGTTTGTTGATTTGTCTATGGTTTACAAGCATATTTGAGCACTTGTAAAATGTTGAACTAGAATAGCATTCTTTGTAAGAAACAATAGAACATTCTTTTTTAATAAAGAAAACAGAGGACTCAATTCACCTTCCTTGTATATACTAGCATTTACACTGATGCACTGTGCAAACGCAAACTCACTAGGATATGAGTCGGACCACCAAATCTTGGATGGAGGAGAAGAGTGGAGAGAGATGCCATGAGGGGCAGAGGGCGTTGGAGGGGGAGTCGACACTTGCAGAGGCGGAGCTCAGGTGGGCGGGGCTGGCACGAATCGGTCCAGCGAGCTAGGCGCTGCTCAGGGGGCGGCGCATGGTCCGGCGAGCTGCATGCTACTCAGGAGCGGCGTACGGTGAGGGAGAAGAGGGGTGGCCGGAGGAGCAGCGCGCCGCCGGCG